CGATTCATATGACTGGGGGCTTTACAAACAAGCTGTCCCATATTTTTTCACAAATTTCCCAGATGAATGGACTTATGCAGAAATGTGGAACACTTTTAAAAGGTATGGTAGAGTATACGCCATATACAGTCCAAACAGGAGAAGTAGGAATGGTAGCAGGTTTGGATTTGTGAGATATTTAGAGGTGAAAGATAGAAGGGAGCTGGAAAGAAGGTTAGATCAGATCTGGGTAGAAGGAAGAAAACTGTGGGTAAATACTCCGAGATATGTAGAGGCAAAAATGGAGGTGCGAGATCAGAAATCTTTTCAAGATCTTGAACCGAAACCCCAAACCAGGAGCTATGCTGAAGTGGTGAGGAGCCATCAGGAGAAAGATAAAGAGGAGAAGGGGAGTAAGCACTTCACGGTGAATCTGTCGGAAGGGCAGAGAAGCGGTAGAAGCCAAGCGAAAAGTGAAGGGGGAGGCAATGATAACAGGAAAGTATGGCAAGAAAAAGGCAAGAGTGCAAATTGGGCTGGATTTGAGTACAATGTTAATCCAGAAGAGTTCGCATGGCTTGAAGGGTGTTATGTAGGAACCGTTTACTCGGTGGAAATGGTTCGAAATTTGCAGGAAAAATTTTATATGGAAGGCTACTTTGCATGCCGAATCCGTGCAATGGGGGGAAAATTGGTGCTACTTGACTGTGATGACAAAAATGAGTTGAAAGAATTGGTGGAGTCAGCAACAGAGTGGTTAAGTCAATGGTTCACAGATGTGAAACCATGGTCTCCGGAAAAGGTAGCGGATGAACGGTTTGTGTGGATTAGGTGCCAATGAGCACCCCTAAATGTGTGGGGGACAGATTTTTTCGAAAAAATGGGTAGCTCTTGGGGTAAATTCATCTGTTTGGATGACAACACAAGCCAAAAAAGAAGATTTGATGTAGCTAGATTCCTGCTCTCAACACCGAGTATGAAAACAATATCAGTCTCGAGACAGATTAAAATAAATGGGTCCATGTACAATGTTAAATTCACGGAGGAGGAGTTCACCAACAGCTTCTTCTCCTTGAAGCAAGACTTCATGCCATCTTTTCAAAGTGAATCTGAAAATGAGGAATCATGGTCATTAGATAGTGATAAGGAAGATAGTGATCTGGAAAAAATTGCAGAGTGGGAGCAAGAGAAAAAAAGAGACGGTGAGCCGGAGGAGGAAGATGATGAGGTGGCATACAGTACAGGGGAGATTGATGGAAGGTATCTGACACAAGATCTGCAAGTCAAGAAAGGGGAAATCGAAGCTGTGGCAGAGAGCTCGGTGCGAATTCAAATTTCAAATGAAAATTTTTACGGTGCAGCGGAGGAAGGGGTGTTACAAAATCAGGGGAATTTGGAAATTGTGAAAGGAAAGTTGGGCTTCAATGAGAAACTTAGGAAGAGGTTGAATTGCAAGCCCAAATCACAAGGCAGCAGCCCAAGTGATGTGGGGTCAATAAAAGAAGGATTGGGCCAAGGACTAAGGGGAGTAGGCCCATCTATGGGTAAAATAATTGAGCTGAATAAAGACAAGGGGATAAAGGCGGTGATTAATGAAAGTGAGAAAGGGAAAGCTGTCCAGAGGGAGCTCGACGGTGATGAGGGGAAGAGACAGAGGTCAAAGCAGAAGGGGTCGAGGGGGGACAAGGCGACGTCTTCTGTGGAGGAAGTGAGGGAGTCGATCTTGTGGGATCAGGAGGGTGAAGAAGAGCAGGAGCAGATCTCGAAGAAGATGGGATCGAGTGGGGCAAAGGCGTCAACCGCTGAAGAGGAAGGAAGTGACCTGATCCAGTGGGATCACGAGGATGAGGCGGTGCAGACGCAGATCTTGAAGCAGAAGGGGCCGGTAGCACATCTGCAAAAGAGGAAGAAGAAAGTTAAGCTTTGTACTGCTGTCTACCGAAAGGAGGGGTCTGCCGGTGTTCAACGGAGAAAGAAGAACTTAGGAGGAGGTGCAAAACAAACCCGGGAAACAAAGAAAGGGAGATTAGTGCCGGAGTTTTTGGCTAGCCCGAATGGTGAGATAGCAGGGGAATCCATCAGTGATAGTGGCATAGAAAACTGCAACAGGGCTTGGAAGGAAAAAATGCACAGCCATCTTGCCAAGGAAATTTGGGAGCTAGCTAAACAATTGGGCGCAACAACAGAAACGGATGAGGCGATGGTGCAAAAGATTGAAGAGATGGAGAGAAGAGACAGACAGCAAAAAGAAAAAATGGTCAATCGGGAAGCCGAGGAAGCAAAGAAGGTAAGCATTGAGAGTAATGATATTGTTGTCCTTTAATATAAGGGGATTAGGAGGGGTGGGGAAGAAAAGAATCTTGAAGGAGTTGGTGATCAAAGAAAAGGTAGATTTTGTAGCAGTGCAGGAAACCAAATTGGAAGTTGTAGATAGGAGATTATGCAGGAGAGTGTGGGGTAGTGATAATTTTGATTGGATTTTTAAACCTTCAGAGGGCTTATCTGGAGGATTGCTATGTATTTGGGAATCAACGGTGTTTAAAATGAAGGAGGTGTTTGAGGGACGTTCGTTTGTGGGTGTTTTTGGGGCATGGGGAGAAGAGCGGATACCGGTGCATTTCGTTAACATTTATTCTCCATGCACTCTGGCGGGCAAAAGAGAGTTGTGGGAGGAGCTGGGTAACTTAATTAACAGAAGGAAGGGTAGGTGGTGTGTAGGAGGCGATTTTAATGCTGTTACGAGGGTAGAGGAGAGGGCGGGGTGCAAAGACCCAACCATAGAGATGAACGATTTTAACAGCTTCATTCATGATGCGGGGTTGATTGATTTACCATTGATAGGCAGGAAGTATACCTGGTACAGCTCCAATGGTCGACAGATGAGTAGAATTGACAGATTCCTAATCTTTGTTGATTGGCTTGAGAAGTGGGGTGATGTGAAACAGTGGGGTTTGGGCAGATCAGTGTCAGATCATTGTCCGCTGGTTCTGAAGAATGAAAAAGTAGACTGGGGACCAAAGCCGTTTAAATTCTTCGATGCGTGGCTGGAGCAACCTGATTGCAAGGAGCTGATAAGAAAGACATGGAATTCTGCAGCGGAAGAGGGGAGAAAGGGATTCAGACTAAAGGAGAAATTAAAAGGAACAAAAAAAGCCTTGAAGGAGTGGAGTGGCAGTCATATGTCGGAATTAGATAGTAAGATTAAGGAAGCGGAAAAGATGATAGCTTCCTTGGATGAGAAAGGAGAATCTGTTCAGCTATCGGAAGAAGAAAACATCAGGAGGAAAGGATGCTTCCTAGATCTGTGGAAGAACTTGAGAATCAAGGAGAGAATGTGGCAGCAGAAATCAAGGAAGATGTGGCTAAGAGATGGGGATGCCAACACAAAGTTTTACCACAATTGTGTGAAGGGCAGATGGAGAAGAAATGAGCTAAACAGCATCCAGGTTAATGGGAAACAGCTGAGGGAGGTGGGTGAATTAAAAGAAGGAGTAGCAAAGTATTTTCAAGATCTATTCACAGAATATGACAGGCGGAGACCAAAGCTGGATGGCATTAACTTCAAACAACTATCCCATGAAGACAATGAAACCCTCATGGCTGAGTTTACAGAGGTAGAAGTTAAAAATGCAGTGTGGGATTGCGAGCCAACAAAATCCCCGGGGCCTGACGGGTTTAACTTCAAATTTATAAAGGCTATGTGGGAGGACATAAAGGAAGATATTATGGGCTATATTCAAGAATTTCATGAGCGAGGCAAGATGGAAAAAGGAGCAAATGCGTCGTTCATAGTCTTAATCCCGAAGGTTGAAAACCCCCAACGAATTGAAGATTATAGGCCAATTTCGCTCATTGGAGTCATGTACAAGATCCTGGCGAAGTTGTTAGCTAACCGTCTGAGGAAAGTACTGGATAAGATTATCGGGGAGCAACAAATGGCATTCATTAAGGGCAGACAGCTGCTGGATGGGGTGATCATTGCTAACGAGGTGATCGAGGAGGTAAAGAGAAAGAAGAAAAGCAGCTTTATATTCAAGGTGGACTTCGAAAAAGCTTATGACAAGGTAAGCTGGGACTTTATTGATTATATGCTGATGAGAATGGGGTTTGCTGCCAAATGGAGAAAATGGATGAAGGAATGTCTACAATCGAGCACAGTATCAATCCTCATTAATGGAAGTCCAACAAGGCAATTCTCGGTTAGTAAAGGGATAAGGCAAGGTGATCCACTTTCTCCCTTCTTGTTCTTAATAGTAGCGGAGGGTTTGAATGGCTTAATGGCATCTGCGGTGGATAAGAATCTTTTCAAGGGGGCGAGGATTGGAAACGTTGATGTGACGGTATCCCACCTTCAGTTTGCAGACGATACAATATTTTTTGGCGAAGCTTCAAAGGAGAACATCCAGGTTATCAAATGCGTGCTGAGAACCTTTGAGTTAGCTTCGGGCCTCAAGATTAACTATGGTAAAAGCCAGCTAATGGGGATCGGGGTGGAGGAGGATTGGCA